TGTTTTCCTGGAGCGATCCTGACAATACATGGTCAAGTTGGCTTTTTTTCCCACCATTAAGTGAGAACATTAGCAATTCATGTGCAATCTTTCTGCTGGGGCTACATCCATGCTTTTATTGCTTCTTCCCAGGCAGAAGCACAGATGCTATTCCAGTACCCACACCCCCTTCTCCACCCTCGTGGCCTTACACTTAGGTAGATGGGCTCCTGCTATAATCATTACCTCAAGGTAATGATGAGGATAAACAAATTTTGTGCTGCTGGCACAAACCGACCAGAGGCATCAGAGAGAAACTACAGCAGTGATTAGGGCTGTTCTGGGTGGTGCTGTTGGTGACTAAGACCTTGGATGCCAGCAATTGCAAAGTGACCTTCCCCTGCCAACATCCATTACCTTGACTCTTTTTCTGTGTGTTTCCCTACTTGTCCTGCAGTCCTGTCCCTAAAAGCCTTCTGGCTATACCAGGAGCCCTATGGATTTAACCACATGCCAGCTGATTGCTTTTTCTTTAAAAGGTAGAAAAATTATTTACAGCATTTGTCATGACCCAAGATTTGAAGAGGTAAGGTGTCCATGCAACGAGTCCAGACAGCAGTTCAGCTGATACAATGAACAATGTAAATCAGTCAGAGTCTGTTATTCTTAACTGGAAGGTTTTAGGTCTGATCTCCCCAAAGAGAAAAACTCAGTGTTAAACTATATTCTCCTTGAACAGAAGTGAGGGGATGGGGAGAGCTGTATCATCATACTGTTATACAAAAAAACAGACATGACTCAGTTAAAGAAAAAAATGCTTCATAATCAAGCCAACAAGTTATGTCTTGAGGAACCAAGTTATAAGTCTACAGAATGAGTCTTAACACTGTTCCATAGATGAGACGAAGCCTTCAGCCGGTGTCAACTACAAATTGGCACTTGCCAGCCACCTCTACAAGGACTAGATCATGTGCTGCTGCTGCTGCTGACCTTCAACCCCCTCTGAAAGGAGTTCAGGGCGGAGGGCAGAAATCAGGCACTCTGTGCCCTGGGAACAACTGACAGGACAGGTCTTCAGATCGTTAGATGCTTTCAGGAGTCGATTAATGAGCCCAATTCTTGTATCTCCTCATATCTAGAAAAGCACTAAAATCCTTCATGGTGACGACTGTTTCTCATAACTAGCAAACAGCTTCATGAGACTAGTAGAAACCTTCCAGAAAAACATATGCATTTTACTCCCCCTTCACCAAAATCACATACGAAGTGACTGATCCACCCTGCCTCTTTGGAGCAAATTCTCAGAGTTATCTGAGGTGCTGCATTCTGGGCTGCAGTCCTCACTTTGCCCCAAATAAAACTTAAATTGCAACATTTATGTTGTGCATTTTTTGAAGTCGACACTCGTACTAAAAGTAATTTCATTCAAGGTCATCGGTGTGAAAATGACAGGCTTATTCTAAATGGTATGAACATATACTTCATCCCTCTCTTTTCTCCTACAATTACAGAAACAATTCATAAAATGTGGTCATTAAAACAAGCATTATTTTTTAAAAGTTGGATAGCTTTATGGATTTGATTTAATCAGTCAACTGGGGCAGCGGCTGGGGGGGAGGTCAGAAAGGAAAAACACCCTCTCTGCCTTCTCAAATTTCAGTCCAAGCCTAATGAAAATAAACCTTGGAGAACTTCAGTCTCCAAGCAGGCATGAGAAAGGTTTTGACTCAGACTTTTGAGGAATGTTACTGAGGGGTGATTTCCCTCAGACTAATGACCTGACATTCCTAGTAAGACAGAGAGCGATGATAAATATGCTAATTGAAGGGCCTTCAGTGCAGGTTTTGAAAGAGGGAATAGCCACGTCTGTGTCTGTAATCAGTACCATCAGAGTGGCAGAAACCACACAGCTGAAATCACACCACACCAATGTGCTCAACCCTGAAATAACAATTTCAGGTCACGGGAGTCCCAGCTCTCTGCTTGCTCACTACCTGCCAATCAAAAGACTCTTTCAATCCACAAAGCAAATGGAACAGCCCTTCCATATGCAGGACAGAAATGACTTTACATAGAAATTGAATGTTTCTCACCTTTTCATTCCTTTCTGTTTTTGAGAGGGGCAAGGAGGAGCGGGGAGAGGAGAACTGAATAACATGCCTTCGAAGAGGCCCACCAGGCTTTCCTCATCTTGTCAGAAGCAAAATTGTCCAACCGCCCTGCCCCTCCTCCCCCGCCGCACCCCATTTATCTTCCAAGACTCCACACAGAAACAAGAACACAGAGGAAAAGGTAAAAGACAAACAGAAGTCAAAGGGGAAAAATATTTCCCAGAGTATTGTGAGAGAACCTTAGGCTACTTCCAAGGATGCTCTTGGGAAATAAATTGAAATTAAGACATTTCAATGTATGACAAAAACCACTGCAATGTTGTAAAGTAATTAGCCTCCAACTAATAAAAAAAAAATGAAAAAAAATTGAAAATAAGAGACAGTAAGATTCATGGGCAGCACAGGTCAAGACAATGGACATTTGAGCTCATCTGGATGAATTTTTGTTCATCATATAAATTTTATATTTTTATGAAAAAGAACACCCCACTGCCCAAAACTCCTTTTCATTTTCTGTCTAAAGTGCAGAATAAGCCTAAGGATGTGTACAAGTGGACGAAATGTTCTGGGTTCCTCTCTTGTAATGGGTCAGTGGGGAAGGGGCTAATGACAGTAACTGGTGCTGAAAAGGGCTTCAGAAAAAAATAATGCTTTTCTCATTCCAGGGTCTGAATTCTGAGACTGGCATAAGTAGAAGAATCCTAAGAGAATCTGTATGCCCAAATGGTTTCACTCAACCTGCTCCCAGAAAAAAGGCCTCCCCACCCTATCTTTTCTGAAGAAGTGCTCCGGTTCCTTTAAAACACAGACTTGTCAAGGGACATAAATAACTCCCTTACTCGCAGACGCAGACATCTCCAAAAAAAACACGATCAGCTGCCAAATAAAGGAGCTGAGAGTATTCTGGCTGAGAAGGAAGCAGGTGGGAGAAAGAAGAAAATCCTAAATTGTACAAACTGGCTGTGGCTATGATCTCATCTAGGAAGCCCTACTCCTGCCTCCCACTTTCCCTCAAAGCTGAGTCAGCCACCCGGTCGCTAGCAACGAGAGCCTTGAATGAGTCAACTTTTCAATGAGATGTCATCTCTCTCAGCATCTTCACTGGTTCAAAAAAAAAAAGTATCTGCTTTTCTGCGAAGAGTGAACATAAGCAGCGGCACTTGGTCTATTGTAAATTAGGTCAGAGCAATGAAAATCTTCTTGACTTTCTGTGGTATAATCAATGAGCCTGCTCTAATGAAACCATAAATCAGAAAAGGATTTACATAAACTGGGTCCCACTTGGCACCTCAACAAATAGCAAGTGATGGATTTTGCATTAAATTGTAAGAGCTACCTAACAACCCAATCAGTTACCAATAAATGTATCCCTCTGAAATTTCCAGTCAATCTTTAGTCTTTCTAAAGCATCCCAGCTGCAAATACACATGTAGGCAAGAAAGCAGATAAATCAGAGGAGATCCTCTGATGGCACACCACGAATTCTAACAGCCGTTCATGGCTGTCCATGTATTAAGGTTTCCTGGGAATTTTACCAAAAGATAACTCTCTTATGACTAACCACAAAGAGAAATTTCAGCCTCAGCTGAAAACATGCCATGATCAGATACTTTTATATATCAGAAGGAACTAGAGGAGGAGTCAGCAAATGACGAGCTGCCACCTATTTCTCAAAATAAACATTTAATGAAACACAACCACTAAATTGTGTATTTACCCATTGCCTAGTGGCTCAGCAGTAAAGAATCTACCTGAGATGCAGGAGTCATGGGTTCAACCCCTGGGTCAGGAAGATCCCCTGGAGGAGGGAATGGCAACCCACTCCAGTAATCTTGCCTGGAGAATCCCACGGACAAGGAGATTGGTGGGCTACAGTCCCTGGAGTCGCAAAGATTTGGACACAACTGAGCAACTGAGCACGCACATTGCCTATGCTGCTTTGGCAATACAACAGCAGGGATGAGTGGTTGCTATGGAAACCTTCTGACCCCCACCAAAACCTGTGGCCCTTTGCAGAAACTATCTGTCAATGCTCATGCTAGAGAAAAGATGTAAAAAAGTAAAATATGATACAACCTGAACTAAACTGCTATGCTCCTGGGTTCTTAACTCTAGAAACTTCTGAGGTAAATCAAAAAGACTGTAATATGTCTCACTGGATATGTGAGAATGTGGAGAAGACTTTGTGGTGGGTAGAAGTTCAAAATAAAAGCTATTAGTTTAACTGGACTTGTTTTGTAAGATTTGAATACATTTTAGATTCTACTAATCTATTTAATTCTTCCTGGGTGAGACGTTTCAGAGAGGAAGTAATATTTGATTCAGTTGATTTGAAGAAATAAGAATAAATTTGGAAAAGAGAAGAACTCCATCAAGAGAAAGGAAAACCATTTCTGCTCAAGAATTAATTAGCAGTTAAGTGTTACTTAGTTGAAGCCTACTTTCCCTGCAGGAAGTAAAGTTGTATATAAATCTATGACTAAGGACTCAGTATATGTCACCCTCTGGCAGAAAAGGGAATTAGCCCATGGAAAAAGCTTAAAAGAATGCTTTCCAAACCCACTCATGAGGGAAATGTAATAATAATGATAATAGTTATTAATAATAGCCATTATTACAGGAAATGTTATCATTGTAGGAACCATCATTTATTGAATATTTATCATGTGCTAGTCATAATGCTCGCTGCTTATGCATTACCCTATTTAATCCCCACAACCATCCTATGAAGCACATAGATTATATCCTCCTTTTTCAACTGATAAGACTATAACCAAGGACAATAAATAGGATAAATACATCTCTGAGCAGCAGAGTTTTGGACCCATGTTATTATAATAATCACACGAGTCATTAAAACTTCCCCCCAAACCCACCTCCACCCAAAGCCCCATCGCCAAGCCCTCTTACCTCTGCAGACACTGCAGCACTGATTCTCCGGGAGAATGTGATCCTTTTCTGAGCAGTTCAAAAGAGGGCATGCTTCCGTAATTTTTACTAAAACTCCACCCTGCAAGCCAAATAATCAGGAAACAAAAAAATGTTCATATTTTGAGTTGATGATCCAAACATATAATGCTCATTGTTAAAAGCCTGTGGTGATAACAACCTACAATAATTAACAGTACTCGCAGGAATTCTACCATAATGCAAAGTCACAAATTAAATTGATAAGACTCCTGGAAGAGAAGGCAAATTTCCCTTTCTATAACAAAACAGCCTCAATTTCAACAAATGAGGTGGGGTTTCTTTTGTTTCCATTTTAACAAATGGTTGCTGAGTTATCTTCTGTGTAGCAGAATGCCACTGACAAGGCAGAGCTGATAAATTTTCAACAACTGACTGTTGGATGGGGGAACCCTAAAGTTAGCATTGGCTGATTTCTGTCATATAAACACCCTGACAGTGTGAACCACTAACACTACATCACTGACTACAAAGTTGGAAGCTCTCATGAGCTTTTATGAGACAGTTTCAAGGCTGCACTGGATCACAAGCACTGTGAACTGAAAGATGAAGAAGACATCATTCTTGCCCTCGATAAAAACTTAAACTAGAAACCATAATAAAATACATTAAGTCCTAAAGGAAAAAAAAGTGCTCTAATCACAGTATGGCAATGTATCATTTACTCAATATTAAAGGAAATCAACCATGAATATTCACTGCAAGGACTGTAGCTGAAACTCCAATACTTTGGCCACCTAATACAAAGAATTGACTTATTGGAAAAGACCCTGATGCTGGGAAAGATGGAAGGCAAAACAAGAAGGGGGCGACAGAAGATGAGATGGTTAGATAGCATCACCAGCTCAATGGATATGAGTTTGAGCAAACTCCAGAAAGAGATGGTGAAGGACAGAGGAGCCTGGTGTGCTATAGTCCATGGGGTAGCAAAAAGTCGGACACATTAGTGACTGAACAAGAACAACAAATACATCATAGAAGAATAATTAATTCTACCAAAGTGGGAAGAAATTATAAAGAAGATGCCACATTTGAAGGAACTAAATAACGGAATAAGAAAGAAAACAGTTTCCCAGCAGAGGAAACAGACAAGAATCAAAGTATACAGGTATTGAACTGAAAGTGGGTCAGTTAGATGAACACTAGATTCTCCCTAGAAATAAATAAAACCACTTACAAAAAAATTTTAAATATCTGGCAGGTGCATCTTATGACCCTATTTCAACAAAGGTCCTCTTTGTTGACATCACTAGTATCTATATTTAGTTTCACTCTGAATATTTAAAATTACTTCAATAATTACTCTAAAAGGCAGGATTTGAGAGTCCCTTATTTAATCTAAAATGTTCTGTTATTTTTTGTTCTCCCATTCTTAAAAGCATGGTTAAGTCAACCAAGAAGCAGCTCAAGGAGGGTGGGTCTCATTTAAGGCCGAAAGGTAATTCTCAACACAGATGGGGAGAATAAGATGGTGCTGAGCCACCAGAAAGAATGGGGGAGATTCTGAGTTTTCTATCTCCAAGAGATGACTGTCATTCCAGTGGCCCCAGAATTCCCTGGGGTTTGGCAGGAACATCCATTCTATCAGGCACATCAACTCTAAAATATGAACATAAACATAACTTTAAATGTCAAATCTAAATTTTAATTCCCAAGAACTGATCATATGGATTACCGGCACCATGGTTTCCTCTCCTTTCTCATAAATTTCAGCCCAGGCAGCCCAACCTCTACTACTCCTTCTGGTGTCCTTTGACCCTTTTCCTCTTCATTTCTTGACCTGTCCCAAGGCATCTAGACCTCATGTTTTTCTCCTGTCTTAAAATTGGCCCTAAGATTCTGAGAATCAACCCTGCTATTCAATCACAGTCCCCATTTCAGCTCTATTCCGTTCTCGCCCTTCAACCCAGGCCACGCTGGATCACACCCGGCCTCAACAGCCAGCACCAGTCTAAAGGCAGGTTGTCTGCCAGTTGTACCTCAGTTTCTACAACAGGGAGTCAAATCAACTGTTACAAGCCAACACATGTTAATAACCTTGCTATCAGCAGCACTGAGTTAAATGCAAGGAAAAACACAACGCTTAAGCATGTACCATTGTTGCCCCTACTTCCATCCCTCAATCTTAATATATTTATTCATTATCTACTGCCTTCCCTGGGGGCTCAATGGTGAAGAACACACCTGCCAATGCAGGAGACAAAGGTTTGACCCCTGGGTCAGGAAGACTCCCTGGCGGAAGAAATGGCAACCCACTCCAGTATTCTTGCCTGGAAAATCCCAGGGACAGAGGAGCCTGGCGGGCTGAAGTCCACGGGGACCCTGAGCATGGATGCACCGCCTCCTTGCACAGACAAGAACGGCAAACTCTGCTGGATCCATTTAATCAGTTCACCGTGCCCATTCCTCGCCTCGGCTCATCTCTCAACCCTCAGAGGGTCCCTGAGAGCACTGGAGCCTCTTCGCAGGGAGCCAGAAGTTACCTCCAAGTTCCACATCCTCAACCCCCACAGCCCAAAGCCACTGGAGGCTCTTTACTTCAGAGGGAGACAATGGCTGGGGCAACATTTACACTCCAGAACCCCACCAGAATCAGGGTGCCTCTAACCTTTCACCTAAAATTGCACCTTTGCTGAATTTCCTGCCTGCCCTAGCCTGAATCCCCCACACCCTTACTGCTTCCTCCCAGGAGCACTGCCTTAATAAGTCACTTGTACTTAATCCTGAGCTCAGGGTCTGCTTCTGGCTGAATCTAAACTAAGACGGTAAGATAAATTTCACTCTCAGCTGTCGAAAAATTAAACTGTTAAAAGAGATTATCTATAGGTGATGAGATTCTGGAGTGATTTTCTTTTACTTTCTTATACATCCTTCCTCCAAGTTCCAAATTTTATATCTTGAGTATATATTTGCTTTTATTTTAAAAAGCCATATTAAAACTGCTACAGAGGCTTTTTAAAAATAATCACTCATGAAAGGTTATTTTTTATATATAAAAATTTCCTTTGACTGCTGATTAAATCAGTCAACAATTCCAAAAAACCTTTAATGTATTTAATGAGTAAGATCATAGTTCCAAATGTTCAAATAGAGATAAAAACCCTTTGCTTGAATTTGAAAATAATATGCACTGTGACTCTAGTAACATAAGTGCCACCAAATCCATTCAGTTCAGTCACACAATTTGGTATACACCTTTAACTTTATTTTCATACTCTAATAAGCATCTGATTAATAGATAAATCCTCCTGATTGCAGTAGGTTATTTTATGACCTTTGTAACTCAGCATTGGTGAGGAAATATAATTCATCCATTCTTTCTCATTTAGAGTGACTGTCACCATGGCACTGATCAAATATAAACACTTCCAAGCTCTTTACTAATAACTATGCTTAAACTTGAATTTCTAATAACATACAGAACTCACATCTTTAAGGGGAAAGAAAAAAAAAAAAACTTTTACTAGCCTAAAAAGTGTTTCAGGGCAATACTGCACAAAGCTGACTGAGATTGCTAGGAGAGATTATTCATCTTGATTTAAAAAACAACAGGGGAAAAAAACAAACAAACAAACAAACACAGTATGTTAACTTCTGAAATCACTTGGTGAAAATCTTTAAAACAAAACTTAGTTTCTTATCTCACTGGTAGTGCCGAAGCTTTGAAATGATCCCAGGAAAATGAAATGCATGGACTGCCAGGCAGCCTTTTGTCAACTAGGGATCTGCATTTGAACCACAGAACACAAGAAATTATTTGAGTAATTATTTGCTCAATTCTCCCAAGGATACCACTGACACAGTACCATTTTAGATGTCTAGGAAAGAAGTTAATTCATCACATACAACAGGTACCTTAGGACATTAGGGCTTAAATCTTGCAAAAGGCTGTCTGAGAGAGACCGGAGGCACTCCCCTCCTAGACCCATCACCCTCTCTCCCTCCTGACAACATCCATTAAATGTGTCCCAAAGCTCTTCTCTGGCCTTTTATAAATGCTACCCTTTATCAAGGGAATCAATGAGCCATAGCCTGACCAATCTGGTATTCTCAAATAGACTGAAAAGTGATCATTCAATCTTTCTAAATCTACTTTTTTACAATTCAAACATGAGAATTACTTCCAAGTAAATCTAACACCATCAGGACTAGGAGCAGAGAGGCTAAGAGAGGAGCCTGGAGATTCAGACCACACAGGTTGAGAACCCAGCTGGTTCCCTTACTAGCTATGGGACTTTGCTCCCATGTGCCTCAATTTCCTCATCTGTAAAGTGGGAACGACAATGCTACCCACCCCATAGGGTTATTATGAAGTTTTGTTAAATAAAGTTTCAAAGGTTTTAAATAGTGTTTAGAAAATACTAAGTACCCAGGAGATGTTAAGTGTAATTGTCAGTGATGCTTCTCTTTGTGCGTACTTATGTAGTAGATAACGACAGAAAGACAATATAGGAAGAAAGCCATGGCTTTTTAATAGAGGACGAAACCACTCACATGCACATATACCACATGTGCAAAGAGAATAACCTGTCTGCCCCAACTTCTTCCTAAGTTGTAGAACAAAAATAACAAAGCAAAAATCAGTAAAAGATGAAGCGGAGCAGGGTGAACACCTACAATGTGTGAATCACAATGGTAAGTGCCTATTCAGTACACTGGCATTTAAATCCACACCCGTCTCTTCGAAAGGTCTCCAACAGTGTCTGCCCTGAGTCTCTCTGATGATAACAGAGACTGAATCACACTTATGACCCTTGTCAAGATCACCCGCTACTTGTGTGCAATATGTGAAGGGGGCTGCTGGCTGTGAGTGACAGCCACAGGCTGGATACTGGGACCATCAGCTGAGTGGGTAAAATTGCTCTAGTCATCCCAGCTTCCCTTGAGGGGGAAAAAAATGTCAGGGTGTTAGAATCTAAATCATCTTCTGTCCCCGCAAAGTGAGGCAATCTACCGAGAATGTGACATACGTCTGCTATTCAGGACGGACATGTACGGTCATGTGGAATAAGAAGAGCTCACATGTGTTGAGGGCTTACTTTGCTCCAGCCAAGCTCATCACATGCTTTATCTCATCTGATCCACTCAACACCCCACATGGTAAGGTGTCAGCCCCAGGTCAGGGCCCACCCACCCACCCCTAGATCTGGAAGCTTCCATGGCTGACTGAGACACCACGGAGCCCTCACTGTCCACCGTCCTTGCCTCTGCTGCAGACTAAGGAGGCCCCCACACGGAGCCCACTGTCCCAGAAGGACCACAGCTGCACACCCACCAGACGGCCTCGACCCTCGGAATCGCTGCCATTCCCAGAGTGTGAATGGAAAACACAATAGGGAAGTTCAAGGGACTTAGCCCCTGAAGTAGAGTCTGGTCAGTGAGAGACAGGACATAGGAAAGAGCCTCCCCCGCCTCCCCGGAAACTCCCCATAAAGAACTAGATTTGAGCTCCCCAAGAGTTTCTGTGGGTCTCTAAATGCCTCCCTCTCCTCAACCTTTCAAATACATCCCTTTCTTTTTGCCAGCGATATGACAAAAAGCCAATGAAATGCCGTAAATGTGACAAAACGCAAATGAAATGCGTGGAAAGCGGGTCTATTCTGAGACATGTGGTTCCAGCCAGCCTCCCTGAAGATGCCCCACAGAACGAGCCATGCCTCGCTGTGGGGCTGCGGCTGCTCAGGAAGGCACCACCTTGCATCCGCTCCCCTCTCGCCCATCTTTCCCTCCGTCTCTCACTCCCACAATCTAGGACAGCATCTCACCCAAGTAACTGCCTGGCTAGCCCCCACCTTCATCCAGCAGACCTCCTCAGAGAGGTCTTCCCAGACCACACATGCCCACTTCAAAGCTCTCTCTCCCTTTAACCTGCTCTGTATCTTTATAGAATTTGACATCAGAGTTGACCCTTGAACAATGCAGGAGTCAGAGACACCAGCCCTCCACACTGTCTAAAATTGACACATAATTTATAGTCAACCCTCTGTATCTGTGTATCCATGGTTCTGCATCCAGGAATTCAATCAAGCACAGATAGTGTAGCATCACAGTATTTACTACTGGAAAAGTGGACCCTAACAGTTCAAACATGTGTTGTTCAAGGCTCAGCTGTATCTTGTATATCTATTTGTTTATATCTTACTGCCTATCTCCCCACCAGACTGCAAATTCTCTAAAGACAAGGGCTTTGCTTTGTTCACTGTTGTTCAACCAGAATCTAACAGCATGCCGATAAGCAGCACTTGCTCACTGCATGTTTGTTGAATGATTTACTGAATGAGATCTATGGTTCCACAAAACTAACCTCGAGGAATACATGAGAGGGGGCAGGCAGGAGACAGGCATTTTCGAACACTGTCTCAGACACTTAGAAGTAGAGGTAGCACTATCCACAGCTCGTATCACAGACTAACTGCCCCAACACCTAATCAAAACCTTTCCCCAGAGCCAGCGGACAAGCTCTCTGACTCATGGTAGCTGCTAGATCCCTTCCCCTTCTCACTTCCTTCCCTGACCATCTTTCCCAAGACCACATGATCCACAGCTGACCACAGGCTAACCACACAATGACAGTGGCTAAGAACTCCCCATCCTGGACGCCAGCCCAATGAGAGTCTTTCCCCGCCTTGGGCCAATATGCTCCATCTCAGAACCCTACCTAAAGCCCACATCTCCTTCCCAACAAGTAATGGGAACCATAAGATTGAAACTTACTCTGCATTCCCGACAGCTCTTGCTTAAAATCCGCTGGCCTTCTGCGAGGACTTTTCCTCCATAGATACATTTTGCTGTAATAAAACAGAAAAGCAGGTCAGGTAGACATACTATGTAACAAAATGACCTCCAAGGCACTGTCCATCTCCAAGAGAATCCACAGAACATAAATACTCTAAGCAACACAAATCTCTGTACATGTCTAGAGCAAGACATGGAAATAGTATGGGAATAACTGCTGAATCCCCTATCAGACTGTCATCTGGATTATGTTTGCCATGAGTCTTCCACACCAAGATTATACAACTATTTCCTTGCTGCAGCTGCTGACGGACTAAAGAACGAATTGCTGAGGTCAGTGTTAAAACAAGGAAGAAATGGTTGTCATCACCATGGAGTACAAAAGCAGTAGCTTTGATTCAGCTACTCCAGCCATAAAATGAGTGACTGGGTGAAAAGGAACTCACATACATTCCATTCATCAGGACCTCAGTCACTATGCAGAAAAACACATTTTTCCCCTTTGTAATCATACAAAGCAGGTCTTCAGCTTATCTGATCCCAAGAAGCTCAGAAGAGAAACACAAGTCTGTACAATGCTCTATCAATGCACTAGAGAGACTGCCTTTGGAAAGGTGAGCTTAACAGGCTAATAGGGAAGGAAGGGAGGAGAGATGGGTCTTGGGGAAAAGAGTTAACAGAGAAGCATAAATGCTGACCCACTTTTAAGCAACTGCAGAATATGTTTAATTTTATATGATCCTAATGTGTCTCTGTCAAATTCCCCAGTCACATCAACAGGAACAAGGAAGCAACATCCTTGTGTTGTAGCAAGTGCTACTTACCAGCAGGCTGTTAGATTCTGGATGAACAATACCCCCTCCCCTGCACAATGAGGATCCTTCCAGCCCTACTCCTCAGGAGAAGAAAAACTGAAGACGAGCACTCTAAGAGATCTCCACCACTAATTCACTGTCTTATCAATACCACCGCATCTCTCAGAGCCTCCATTTCTATATCTGTTAAAAATAGGTAAATTCAATTTGATAGTTTCTTAGTTCTACCATCTTCAGACTCATGGAATGTTAGGCCTGGTGCACTGGGAAGACCCAGAGGGATCGGGTGGAGAGAGAGGTGGGAGAGGGGACCGGGATGGGGAATACATGTAAATCCATGGCTAATTCATTTCAGTGTATGACCAAAACCACTGCAATGATGTAAAGTAATTAGCCTCCAACTAATAAAAATAAATGGGAAAAAAAAAAAGAAAAGAAACACAAGTCTGTACAATGCTCTATCAATGCACTTGAGAGACTGCCTTTGGAAAGGTGAGCTTAACAGGCTAATAGGGAAGGGAGGGAGGAGAGATGGGTCTTGGGGAAGAGTTAACAGAGAAGCATAAATGCTGACCCACTTTTAAGCAACTGCAGAATATGTTTAATTTTATATGATCCTAATGTGTCTCTGTCAAATTCTCCAGTCACATCAACAGGAACAAGGAAGCAACATCCTTGTGTTGTAGCAAGTGCTACTTACCAGCAGGCTGTTAGATTCTGGGTGAACAATACCCCCTCTCCCCTGCACAATGAGGATCCTTCCAGCCCTACTCCTCAGGAGAAGAAAAACTGAAGACAAGCACTCTAAGAGATCTCCACCACTAATTCACTGTCTTATCAATACCACCACATCTCTCAGAGCCTCCATTTCTATATCTGTTAAAAATAGGTAAATTCAATTTGATAGTTTCTTAGTTCTACCATCTTCAGACTCATGGAATGTTCAGGTAGGTAGGCACCTTAGCAAACAACTCATGCAACTCCTTTTTGACCACAGGAAGAGGAAAGTTCAGAAACATTACTTTACTTGACATCGTGATCCCACAGCAGATACTGTGGTAGGCAACCCAGATCTCCCTCCACGGCCAAAGGTCACATTCCTGAAACTGTCATGATGGGTGATGACCAACAGCTCTCAGCTGAACAGTGATTGCAGATGTGCCCTTGTGCAAAGTCAAGAGCCCTTCCCAGGGCAGCCCACATCCAATGGGTGGTTGATGAAGGTATTGCAAAATCCAAAGGTCTTCCAGCTCCAGAACTTCTTGAGGAATGACTGAGGCATTTGTTGTAACTACACTGCAGTTCAACCTCTCCTGCCCAATTTTGTCTCTTTCACTATCTCACTCCCACCCTAGAACTGATCTTGAACTTCCTAATAAAGTACAACCAAATCTCCATTTCAGAGTCCGTTTCCTCTAAGAACTTGCCCTGCAACAACGCATATCTGACTCAAATCTGTGTGTCTCTAGTATCTGCATTCAGTGAATGGCATTAGTATCCACCCCAGCTCCCCACCCACACCCCATGACATGGGGTCCTTCAAACCCCTCTATTTCCTCAACCCCATGTCCAATCAGTATTCAAATCCCAGCCAGGCCTCCTCTTCAAGTTTCTCAAGTCAACCAACTTCTCTCCATCCCCATCACCTGCCCCCAGCTATCATTTTCACTCAAACCATCGCTCCTCTTTAGTGGAGTAGAAAACTTCCTAACTTGTCTTCCATGTTCTGGTCTAATCTTACCCAGTTCTTCCCCATACAACCATCAGACATATTTTAAGTACAAATAGAAGGCTCTGCTTCAAAATCACTACAAACTGCTCACGCCCTCAGAATTTAATTCAAATTCCTGAAGGCAGCATGCAAGGCCATCCCTACAATTCCTCCTTATCCCTTAGGTTTCACCAATTCCTTCTCACTCACCCTCCCTCTGAAACTGCCAAACACTCCACCTCCACTGAGACTCCAGCCATGCTCTCTTTTGTTTCGGGATGTGCACACACTGCTTTCTTCTCCAGAACATGCAGTCCCATGCACCCGTTGCTGGTAACCTTCCGTCCTATACACCCATCAATTTCACCTTAATCCTGACATCCCCCTAAGAAGTTTTTATTTTTTTTAACCTCAAGCACTGGAGAACCATCCTCATCCTGTGCTTCTCTGGTACCCTGGACCTCGCCCTAACAGAACATATATCGCATTTTATCTCTGTTGCCCCAATGAGGGTAGGATCTATGTCTATTCATAATTTTATCCCTAGCCCCAAGCTCCATGCCTCTCTGGGCTTAATGTTAGTAACAATAATTTTAGAATTAATGAGCCTCCTAAGTAGCAAAAAAAGAGGCATTTGCTGGTTCCTAGATGAGAGTTCTTCCTGCTATTCAATGCTATTCCAAACATTAAAAACAGATACTAAGGTTTTCAGAGCAAAACCAACTACAAAGTAGAAAACCAATACAATTTTCTAGATAACTCCCTTCCTTGCCTCATTAAAACAATTATCCCTGAACATCTTTTATGCCTCAATTTTCTAGATAAATCAGTTGCCTCTGACTCATTGGTCCTAACGAGGATGTGGATTCCCAAATGTGCTTACATGGGGAGACCACACTTCCAAGGGCCTGAAATTCCTGCCTAATAAACTCCCACGCTCCCAAACGCAGCTGCTGCCAACTTGGCAAGATGGCTCACTCCAGAGTGACAGTTGTGCTAAATACACTGCTGTCAAACCTGCCATCTGCTCCTTGGCCCAGGCTGGGACACAAAGACAAGACCTCCCTTCTCATTTTGCACCTTGCCACCCCCACGATGCTATGATCACACTTGCTGCCCTGCCTGAAGACATTCGCCTGATTTCTCTTGTCCTCTAATCGACACTCATCCCAGATCTTCGACCTGAACACAGGAGTGTTCACATTTCACATTCAAACCACACATGGGGACACATCCATCCCTCAAATTTACAGATCTGGTGTAAAAACTAAGTATCCACTGAACTTCCTGTCTTCACATATACATGTGCATGCCTGCTAAGTCATGTATGACTCTGCCACTCCACAGACTGTAGCCTGCCAGGCTCCAATGTCCATGGGATTTTCCAGGTGAGAATACTGGAGTGGGTTGCCATTTCCTTTTCCAGGGGATCTTCTTGACCCAGGGATCAAGCCCAAGTCTCCTGCTTGGCAGGCATGTTCTTTACCGTTTAGCCACCATCCTCACATAAAGGGGCTGCAAAAGACAGGATGGCTGATGTGCTTCAGCCATTCACAACCTTGGCACCAACACAAGATGTGTACATGATTATGATATCAAAAAGTATCTACGGAATTAGCTTAGGACAGTTCAGCATCACCACTGAGGTCACGAGAATTTCCCCTGCTTTCTCATCTTTGCCCACTTCTCTGATGGTGCCACTCCTTCCCCTGCTGTATCCCTAACATCAGTCCTCACTATCCAACCTCTTGACCTACCGCCAAAAGGCTTATTTTTGATGTCTGAGGAAATTCAAACAGAAGGTGAGTCAGGCTCCAATGCCTGTGGCTGGGGCATTTGGGACTCCGTTCCAACAGCTCTTGGTATGAGTGGAAATGTAAATGGATACCTGAAGCCCTTCACACCACACTGGGGACATGCAAACAAGACTATTTCACAGTGTCTGACCATGAAATTGAAACCCCGCACCAACACACATTTCTTCATGATGTCAGAAACAAATGTACTGGGGGTTTAGAGAAATAGGCAGCTGTATCTTTTTGCACCCAGACACCAGGCCCTTCAAATTCGAACCTGATTTCCCTAGTGCAGTGCATGGACACTTTTTGCCATTTGGGTGCACACCAACTAAACAACTGACAGGCACCTCGTGGCACTCCTGTCAGATGCAGATGTGAGGTTGCTCTGTCTTTATTTAGATATTTGCACCCTGCACACACACTACCATCCCTTGGCACTCGGCAGCTAAGAATATCAGAATCAACACTCCGTGTTGCACTTTAAAGGAGAGTGGCAGATCAGAAAGTCTAAACGCCCAAAGAGCCAACCTTACTTGTTCACAGACCTGGCTTCAGATACTGCTTCTCGGAGCAAGACACCCACATCAAATCTATTCTCTCTCAGGCATCTCCAACATTTCTGAAACCATTTCTTCCACCTGCTTTATTTCTGTTAATCATACTAGGAGTCTCCCGTGCACTCTTGTTCAAAACCTGGCAAATTCTGGCTTATAGATGCTCTGTCTCTGATTCAGTTATCTCAAAAAAAACAAAAAAAATGCTTACAGAGTACCTACCATGGGCCAGGTCCTTTGGCTATCACTCACATTGATCCCTTCCTTTTTCTCTCTCCAGGCAGTGCCTGTCAGCTGGTTTCATCACCTTTACCTGCAGAAAGCCTGAATCCCACACTCAGCTCCCTGTCTGCAGCTCTCCCCATGAAGTGACTTGTGTCAAAGCATTTCTTTGATTATGCCACAACCCTGCTTCAAAATCTTGCTTTTGAGCCCCCAGATAAATGCTGTGATTACTTCATGATTCTGTATCTGCAATCCCCTTTGGCAGTGTGTTCTTACCTACTTTGTCCACGTGGCAAACTCCTATTCATCTCTCCATACCCTACTCAGCTGTGCCTTCCCTGTGCCACCTCTGCATTTCACATAGCATGCATGCTGCACAATACTCCTATAATGAGATGGTGCAAATATCTACCTGGATAGCATGCAGTAGAGGAGACAGTTAAAAGCATTAGCTCTGGAGCCAGATGACCTGAGTTTTATTTTGTTCAGCCAAGGCTGAGAGACCTTGGAAAAGTTAGTCCTCCTCTCTGGGTTTCACCTCCTCATCTCTAAGATAGGAATCATAGTGGAACCAATGCCCTGGGGTTGTTGGAAGAATTACATGAATTAATGACCATAAGAAGGCTTAACACAGTGTCTGACATAGAATGAATGATCCACTTTTCCCCACTGCTGTGCCCAGAGATAAGAACAGAGGTGGGAGAAGAACTTCAATAAGGATGACTAAAGGAATTCAATGAAATATGAACATCGTCATTTATCCCCTGAAACACCTCTGCAGCTTATTTCTACTTCTTACCCACAGAAACCCTCTACTATCAAGTAGACTATCTCCCTCTCCTTCTACCACTTCTTTTCCTTTCAAATACTGTCGTGGAAAGCCCAAGATTTCCTCTCCATCCTTTCCCTTCTCTCTCATCTCTGATAGCTCCCCCAAATCTATCCAAAAGAATACCGATTCTTACTTCATGCTATATGACACTTTTCAGGTCCATCCACATCTCTACAAATGATCCAATTTCATTTCTTTGTACAACTGAGTAATATTTCATTGTGCATATGGACCACACCTTCTTTGTCTGTCCCTCTGTTGATGGCCATTGAGGTTGCTTCCATGTCCTGGATATTGTAAACAGTGCTGCAATGAACACTGGGCCCAGGGAACTCTGCTTGATGCACTGTGGGGATCTGAATTGGGAGAAACTCCAAAAGGGAGAGGATATATATCGAGGGGCTGCAAAAGACATCAACACAATGGCTGATATACATATATATACGGCTGATTCATTCTGCTGTGTGGTAGAAAGACAACACTATAAAACAACTATACTCTGAAAAAGTTAACCACACACACACAAAAGATTCTAGGACACCACTGCCCAGAGATTCTGATTTAGTAGGTCAGAGTGGGTCCCTAGGACCCTCAAGAAGGTATCTCAAGAAGTTCACTAGGGTGATTCTAATGAGTAGCTAGGTATGTTCAATTCCTTGATTAGAGCAGACACCCAAGAAATGTTTGAGGGATGAAACTCCTGCACCACTTTCTGGACTTCCATGCCCACAGCTAAGGAATCTAGAAGGCTCTCTGGAGTTTACCTTGATGCATTCCAAAAAGATGAAGAGCCTAATATCAGGAATTATGAAAACTTGGTCTTGGAGATGGCCTGATTTGTTGGGCCTGTTAATCACAACAAAAGGACAAAGTACTTTTTTCAGGCAATGAGTTGAGATATGAACACTTAGACCAAGTTCTTTCCTGCTTCCACATGGATGCCCTCATCTGTAAGCGCTGCAGCTCCTGAAGCCATGACAAGAGGATGAACCTTTGGTAAGTGAGCAGATGAAACAATCTGCTTTCATGTATCGGTCTCAGAGACCCTAGGACACTACCCCACCCAAATCCAGAGAGGAGCTTAGGAAATTTTATCTGAAAGGGACAACTAAAGGAAGTATTTTCCATCCTTGATCTAATGTGGAGATATCTGAAAACTTCTAATTACCATCTTATTAAACATCTTAAACTACTGATCAGAGTTGCTGAGAAAATTTGTACTACCTAGCTAAATGGTTATCAATTCCAAACTAAGGCAAAAAACATACTGATAGTTTAGCTAGCTCATTTATCAGCATCTTGGTACAATCAGGTAAGCTTGCTGAAAAGATTTTTTTTTAATTTAAAACTCTCCAACAAATTAAAGAAAAATGACTATACCACACACTTCTAGTGAGAGGACAATCTGATGATATGTAGTAAGAACTTTGAAAACATCAGTTTCTTGGCCCAATAATCTACTTTGGAAAATTCAAGGAAAATGTGAAATAAAAAATATGGTCTCACAAAATATGTTAAAGTGAACGTGAAGGTGTTAGTCATTCAATCGTGTCTGATACTTTGGAACCACACGGACTGTGGCCCAGTAGGCTGCTCTGTCCATGGAATTCTCCAGGCAAGAATACGGGAGTGGGTAGCCATTCCCTTCTCCAAAAGATCTTCTTGAGCCAGGCACTGAACCCAGGTCTCCCACACTGCAGCCAGAGTCTCTACTGTCCGAGCCACCAGATTTTGAAAATGTCAGTCTCTTGGCCCAATAATTCTTTTTTTTTTTTCTTTTTTTTTTTTCTTTTTTTTTTCCATTTATTTTTATTAGTTGGAGGCTAAGTAATTACTCCAATAATTCTACTTAACAGAATTCAAAGAAAATATAAAATACAAAAATGTGGCCTCACAAAATTGAATAATGATTTATAATAATGAAAAATGGGAAACAATCTGTTACCCAACAATTGGGGAATAATTAAGTTATGCAAAACCAAACAGTAGAACACTATGAAGCTCTTTAAAGTGAAGGTCATACAGTTTTTAAAAGCATAAAAATATACTTAAGTGATAATGGCAAATCAATAAAGTAGGCTAAAATTATCTATACAATAAGAACTCAACTGTCCACAAAATAAAAATTTTTTAAAAATGAAATCCACTATGATCTCAAGTGTTTGCTTTCAAGCGGTGGCATTATGGGTAATTTTTCATCTTTATTTTTACCCTTCTCTGTGACTTCACATATACAATGACACACAACAGCTGAAAGACTCACCTATGCCCATGTCCAAATTACATCTGCCAAGAGACAGTGTTTACAGATCCATGGAGCTCAAGATAATAGATTAAAAATACATCATGGTTTTTAAAACAAATCCCTAATAGATTCTCAACTTACTCCTCTGCTATTATATAGAATACATCAAGATAGAAAAATAATCTATACATATTATTCTAAAAACTATCTATCCATCATGGAATCAAACTATAATCTCAACATCTGGACCCTTGATCTATCCATGACTTCCGAAAGTGCTTGGAATAAAAACAAGAAAGTTTCTTTTCGATTAACTTGGAGTAAGCCCTCCAGAGTAGTGGATGTACCATATGAACTATAAAAAGAAGACATTTTTCAAAGTTCCTTTTGAAAGGATATAGAGAAAGATTGGGCTGGTACAACCAGACTGGCTATCTGCATTCCCACTGTCATATTAGGGGACATGCTGTTCTTGACAAAAAGTTACTGTTTTGAGGATCTAGTAATGATGGTGTTTTCTGGCAGAGAAACAATTTTGAAAATTATCCATCAGATGGCACATTTCTAACTTAAACTTTCCTTTTTCAGTGAAAATCTTATGGTCTGATAAAAAGACTAAAGGCTCTGTAGTCAGACAGAATTTGCTTTATATTTCACCTCTGCCATTTACTAGCCTTGCAAACTTGTTATCTTCCCTAAGCTTCCTACAAATAGTGATAATAACAATTCCCCCCCAAAATATTCCAGTGAGGACTCAATAATAGAATGAAACCACTTAACACAGTATCTGACACATACCATACCAATTATTCTAAATGACAGCTTTTATTCTTCATGCTTGCCTCAGTGTTCATTTCACCATTTCATTTGAAATAGTGTCCTCTGTAATACAGAGGGAAAAGGATTTTTAAATCATTACATAATTTGGACAAGCCAACTTTGAAGGAAACTGTCCTAATATTTTAACTGAAGTTCAATCTTGAAATTCCTAACAAAGGTCTTTAATAATAGGAAATCTGACTAAAATCTCAGATAGCAAAAACACAGAGCATGGGCCTTACCTTGATCAATCAAAATGAGTGGACCAGGGGCTTCCTTGGTGGTGCAATGCAGGGGACAGGGGTTTGATCCCTGGTCTGGGAAGATACCATAGGCGGCAGAGTAACTAAGCCTGGGTGCCACAGCTACTGAAGCCCATGCAACTAGAGACTGTGCCCCACAACAAGAGAAGCCACCCTGATTTGAGAAAGGCCACAGACAGGAACGAATGCCAAACACAGCCATGAATAAACACTTAAAAAAAAAATGAGGAAATCAAAGCACATGGAGCCTTGCAGTCATGACTTCACAGATCAACTCCACCCACCCCCAGCTGTTTGATCCTGGGCAACTGACTTAATCCTCGTCAATGCCAGTTCCCTGTATGAAAGAATGGAAAGAATAGTAACTAAGGTTGATGTGAGGATTAAGGGAAAAAAAAAAAAAAATAATATATATATATATATATATTGCGCCTATGTAAAGGGTCTGCACATCACAAGTAATCAATTGCTAGTATTAATATTTCATCAATGTTTCTCACAGACTTAATCCTCGTCAATGCCAGTTCCCTGTATGAAAGAATGGAAAGAATAGTAACTAAGGTTGATGTGAGGATTAAGGGAAAAAAAAAAAAAAAATATATATATATATATATATATTGCGCCTATGTAAAGGGTCTGCACATCACAAGTAATCAATTGCTAGTATTAATATTTCATCAATGTTTCTCACTTGGGGGTCTGAAAAAAAGAGGAATAAATCAATCTCGAAGCACTGAGGGCCACCCTGACCCTCAGTCAGTACTTACGTCGGCAGACCTTACAGCACTGGCCGGCAATGTGCACGGGGAGGGAGTCTGGAGAGCAGTTGAGTGGGGGACAGGACATCCTTCGGCATTCCACAACCCCACTCTGAGGAAGGAAAGGCAGGAAAAGACATCTCAGCAGAGGTGACCTCAGTAGGACAAAGCTCACATTCCATCCCAGAAACTTCACCAGGAAAACAGAAGTAGTGTGAGCAGTTCCTGGGGCTTCCCAGGTGACTCTGGTGCTAAAGAACCCTCCTGACAAAGCAAGACCCAAGAGATGTGGCCTCTATCCCTGTCGGGAAGATCCCAGAGGAAGGCATGGCAACCCACTCTACAAATAATTTTCTCCAACCCATATAAAACCATGCCACCTCAATTACTTTTCTGGTATACATCACTGGTTTCATTCTACCTGCCCATCAGACTGAACAGATTAGAAAGAAAACAAAAGCCTATTTTTATAAGAACATTAGTAACACCTTTTGCAGACCCTGAAATCACTGTTTAAGCACTAACAATCGTTTTAAATTTTTGAAGACAAACAATGGCATTCTTTAGACACTTAGCAAGTAATTTCAGCTGGATAAGGTTTACATACTAATGTGGGGGGAGGGTGGGGGTTCTTTAATTCTCCAAAACAGATCAAATTGCAGATACAAATAATACAGATAATGGATAATCTGAGAGTCAGGAGGTCCTGCAATTCTCTAAAACAGAAAATGGATACCTTGTAAAAATACATTGAAGACACCTAGAAACTAATTAACCTCCTTTTAAAATGTATAGTAGCACAGAGTCCCTTGGACTGCAAGGAGGTCCAACCGGTCCATCCTAAAGGAAATCATCCCTGAATATTCATTGGAAGGACTGATGCTGAAGCTGAAACTCCAATACTTTGGCCACCTGGTGCAAAGAACTGACTCATTGGTAAAGACCCTGATGCTGGAAAAGATTGAAGGCAGGAGGAGAAGGGGATGACAGAGGATGAGGTGGTTGGATGGCATCACTGACTCAAAGGACATGAGTTTGAGTAAACTCTGGGAGTTGGCGATGGACAGGGAGGCCTGGTGTGCTGCGGTCCATGGGGTCGCAAAGAGTCGGACACAACTGAGTGACTGAACTGACTGACTGACGGATGGAATCTAGATAAATGGTACTGATGGACCTGTTTACAGGGCAGGAATAGAGATGCAGACATAGAGAACAGACTTGTGGACACAGTGGAGGAAGAAGAGGGTGTAATGAGCTAAGAGAGTAGCATTGACATGTATACACTACCGTACGTAACAGCTAGCTAGTGGGAAGTTGCTGCGTAACACAGGGAGCTCTACAGGTGCTCTGTGACTACTAGAGGGGTGGGATGGGAGAGGTTCAAGGGAGGGGATATATGTAGACTTATGGTTGATTTATGTTGTTGTACGGCAGAAACCAACACAACATTGTAAAGCAATTATTGAATTAAAAATAAATTTTTTAAAAAAGGAAATAAAATAAAATGTATAGTAGCAGAGAAAAGCCATGACTGAAGTCAGCCACTCAGTTCAGTTGCTCAGTCGTGTCTGACTCTTTGTGACCCCAAAGACTGAAGCACACCAGGCCTCCCTGTCCATCACCAACTCCTGGAGTTTACTCAAACTCATGTCCATTGAATCAGTGATGCCATTGAATCATCTCATCCTCTGTCATCCCCTTCTCCCCCTGCCTTCAATCTTTCCAGCATCAGGGTCTTTCCAAGGAGTCAATTCTTCTCATGAGGAAGCCAAAGTATTGGAGTTTCAGCTTCAGCATCAGTCCTTCCAATGAATATTCAGGACAGATTTGCTTCAGGATGAACTGGCTGGATCTCCTTGAAGTCCAACGGACTCTCAAAAGTCTTCTCCAATACCACAGTTCAAAAGCATCAATTCTTCAGTGCTCAGCTTTCTTTATAGTCCAACTCTCACATCCATACATGACTACTGGAAAAACCATAACCTTGGCTAGATGGACCTTTGTTGGCAAAGTAATGTCTCTGCTTTTTAATATGCTGTCTGCTGCTGCTGCTGCTAAGTCGCTTCAGTCTGTCCAACTCTGTGCGACCCCATAGACGAAAGCCCACCAGGCTCCTCCGTCCCTGGGATTCTCTAGGCAAGAATACTGGAGTCAGTTGCCATTTACTTCTCTAATATGTTGTCTAGGTTTGTCATAACTTTTCTTCCAAGGAATAAGGGTCTTTTAATTTCATGGCTGCAGTCGCCATCTGCAGTGATTTTGGAGCCCCAAAAAAAGTCTGACACTGTTTCCCCATCTATTTGCCATGAAGTGATGGGACCAGATGCCATGATCTTAGTTTTCTGAATGTTGAG